CATTGTGTCACCCCTTGTGTAAGGGGTAATGTACCGGTAGCATAATTCAAATCGAAAAACAAAAATCGCTTTCTCTATTATTTTGTAGTTTGTATCTCAAGTCTTAATTTTTTGCTAATATTTATGTCTTCACAAAAACAATTATATAAATATAGAAAGAAAAGAAGCCCCGGTTTAGTTTGGATAAAAAAATATATTTTTAATAAATTTTGATAAAAGTTGATGAATTGTGTGGATGGAAAGATCATAAAAATTGAGGGTCTGTAAAATGCGTGATTAAAAATAAATTTACGAAATGAGAATCAATCAAATAGAAGAAACGCAGAGAGTAAAAGCACAAAAAAAAAATATTAGTAGTTATGTAAGAAGTGACTAGTCGACGCCATTTCCAAATGAAGAGATAGATGCTACAGCACATCCATCACCTTAAAGACCGATTTCCATTAAGGGAAATGCCTAAGAATTTTTTGCCATTGTCCACTTCTCAATATAAAAATATTTACTCCATGTGGCAACTTGCTTTATATTCCATTTATTTTCAGATAAGCAGCTTATTTTGACTCTCTGTCTCTCCAACAGTTCCAGACTCGTATTAGTGCTTGTTTGACGCCGTTTAAAGTGTTCATAATCTGCGAATCCTAGAATAGATAATTTAGAACCTATGAAAGGACTGCTCATGCCCTCCGATAAATGCATGAATGTATAATCATAGGACGTGATTTATTGATTAGCGTTGTCTAAGTCAAAAATATTAAACCTGCTGGGCCTGCGAATACCATCTTGATCGTGCATTGTAGAGTAAAAGATTCTAAAATTGTTGGAAGATGAGCTAAAAAGCGAAGAGAGCCATGGGGAGAAGACAGGTGGATATGATAAGGCATATTGTGCTATCTTCTCCATGCTTCCATGATCCATCTCATCCACTTGATGAAGAGATATATTTTGCATGCATATATACCTCATCTCATTCAACTTTTTCTGAGCCTTCCTTTTTGAACTCAAATTTGCAAGTTTAAATTTAAGATGGTTGATGAATAAATATGACGTGATAAACTTAAACTAACTTAATAAAAATTTAGTAGAGTGATTTCTTGAATTTAAGAAAATTAAAGGATAATTTCATTGATTGAGAATACATTTGAGTTTCGTTTTAAGAGGGGACCATTTCCCCTATTTATAGGCCAGAAAATCAAACCAATTGCCCATCCAATGTCATTTCAGTTGCAACCTAGAAGTGCGTGATTGCCCAAAATGTCGACCCCTGATTGGTTGTTGAGGTCGACCACACAGTCCATTATGTTGCCTAGGATCATAGCTGGAGCCTAGGCAATGATTACCTACTATCTAAGCAATCAGAGTATGTAAGATTTTGTAATGAATAAATGAGAACCAGAGGAAGAAGAAGAAGTGCTGAATATAATTCTATCTGCCTTTCA